AGTCAAACCTTAGATACTGATCTGTATGTGTAGGTTTCCGGTACACGTCAGCTTTTAGATGTCCCCCATTACTGATGGAAATTTCACAGTCTAAGAAGGCTAACCTGCCACTTTTCATATCCTCCCTGGTGAATTTGATGTGTTGGTCCACCGAGTTAATGTAATCCGTGAAATGTGGAACGTCCTGAGATTTGATTTTCACCCAGGTGTCATCCACATAGCTGAACCAATGGCTTGGTGGTGTTCCAGGGTAGGATAGCAAAGCCGTCTTTTCCACTTCTTCCATGTACAAATTGGCCACAATGGGTGAAACTTTAATTTCTGCCTGTTTTATATTGTCTGTTTTACCCTTTTATTATTTGTTATCTTATGTGCAGCACTTTGTGATTCTGTCTAGAAAGGTGCTATATAACTAACATTTTATTAATTTATTATTTAAAGAATAAAACAAGCTGAGAAAATGTGACTCCACATGTTGGTCCAGTCATGGTGGCAGAAAGCGCAGCAGCAGCAAGTGGTTGGGTTTAGATGTTTAGGTGCCACGTCTGATAAATTTGGTACGAATAGCATTTTTTTTATGGAAATGATAAAATAACTGAGGCTATACATATATTTAAGATGCTGTTGGCCATGAACAGGCGGGTTCAGCTGTTCTGTGCACAGAAGCCCAAAGGCAGCATCATCCGTCTGGTAGAGCGCTGGTTTCATTCAGGATTGTGAGTCGCACAGGAAGTAGAGCTACAGTTGTGTTCAGTCCAGCTGTGGAGTCCAGCACGGGAAAGACCTCCTGCAGAACATCTCATCATCTTCTCTAACTGCACTGCTACGGTAACCAGAAAAACTGAAAGCGTCAGCTGTCCGCTGGCACGTGCTGCTGTCTGCACGAAGGTCAGACAAAGCCGTTTGAGTTGAGTTTCTTCACTCTGTGCCCGGGTCCCTCTGTGATGTATTTAAACGTCTCGCTGTTTAAGCATTTCTTAATGACAGGTGAGCTTTCACAGCTTCTGCAGGTGAATCTTTGCGTCAGTTCGATGTGGCAGAAATTGTGCTGCCTGTTTTTTATCATCAGTGACTTTAATTACTGGCATGCTGTATGCAGCCTAAAGCTTTTTGCTGTGTTATTTTTAGCTTATTACTGCCAGTGTGGTCGTATGCTGCACATTTATCATGTCACATGCATAGCAGGAGGTAAACAGGCTGATCGTGTGTTCAGCATTTCCTTAGAATCTTAAACTTCAGGTGTCCTCTGATCACCTACATTCATTTTATTTGAACGTCACCAGTGAACATGGATGCAAAGGCTGTCCTCAGAGGCCTCCTGGCCATGTGAGAAACTAGAGTTTGGTTTGTGCCTGGAGCAGAGTGGCAGGTTTCCTCAGACGGAGAGACTCGAGGATCAAAAACAAAGACACAGGTCAGCTGTGACAAAATTATCCTCTTCTCCCTATTTTTGTCTGAGAGAAAAAAGAAAGTAAATTATTATTATTATAATAATAATAATAATTATTATTATTATTACTATTATTGTTGCCCTGTCAGCTCATGTTTGAAAACACAGATATGTCTGTTAATGTTGTTATCTCTGTTTATGGACAGATGACTTAAACCTCTGTCCGTAAACACCAAAAAATAAATTTATTATCCTTCTTTGCAGGCTACATATCCATCATGTAACACAAAGTAATCGATTACAAGCAATGTTAGCATCACCTGCTTACAGATGTGCATGGCATCACATTCCAGTTCTGCTGCACTAAAAATAGGGGTGGCCATGTTCATGTAATGTCACTGTTAGTTTTGAGGTCAGCTACCAAATATAATAGATATAAACTGTAAGGATCACCCTGGAAGTTCCATCCAGGCTGATTAAGGCGGGAACAGATGTGCATCGTAGTAAGCTTTGTAATGACGCCGATCTGAGACATGCTGTTAGTATTAAGGTGTGTCTCACGTGTCGATGTTGGTTCATGAACTCTGAAGGTTTTTGTGCTTTTTTTTTGTTGTTGCTGTTGCCAAATTTCATATGTGAGACGTAAATATTTATTAATATATATACTAAGATAAATGCCAGGAAATAAGGAAAAAAACACCATGTGGACCACAGAGAAAGTGATGCTTTTTGCCACCAGTTGAAGGTTTCATGGACTCGCTGACAAAACTCCTTCCTTTAGACAGACCACCGAGAGCCACGCTGGGACTGGGTGTCCTCTGCTGGGATGATTTCACTGCATGAAGTGGCGTCTGAGGAGGCGGTCCTTATTTGCTCTTGTCTCGGCTCTAATGAGAAAACGGATATTAGAAATTAGCGTAATCCTGAAGACGAGGATGGAAAAATGTTCTTCTCTTTATTGTTGTCTTGTGGAGGCATCAGCCACCCCCACACATTCATCTCACTTTATAAGAATAAGCCAGTTTGATGCCATGCACCTTACTCGTGTAGCCACAATTATCCATAAATTAATAAAACCTGACTGGTTATTACTCGGAGACAGGGGGAGAGGGAGGGGGGATATGAAGGGCTGTACAGTGAACAATCTCCGCATAATTAACAGGAAGATAAACAAAACATAAATTTGGATATTGCATTTATTTGGACTACCACTCAAATATGCGTGAACCACGTTATTTTAATTAAAAGATAAATCTATGTGACATGCTGCTTCCCAGTTAATTATTCAGTGCTGTACAATAAAAACAAAACCCATTAAATATGCCACGCACTCTATTTCTCCATTAACAGTAAAAAGCACTCATCCTGGGGACAACATTTCAAATTCAGCTGCTGCGTGGCTTTTCCCCTTTTTTTTGTACTTTCATTGCAGGTATTTTTACGTCTCCTCTGACTTTGCATCAGCCAAATGTTTGACACGTTGATTTTTTTAATTTTTATAGCTCTCAGTTACAGCTGCCAGTCTGTGAGGCCAAAGAAACAAACCTGGGCTCAACAGATCAAAGACTCTTGGGAGAAGCCGGGTTATCCTCAGCCGCGATGAGCTCGGTGTAAACAGCGCTACTGGACTGAGAACAGGAAGTAGCAGTAGCAGCAGTCTGAGGCTGTGGTGGGACTCTGGAGAGACAGCTGAATGCCGGTCGGCCAAGGTGCGCTGAAATAGATGTTTTTCCAGTCAACCAATAGCAGCGCGGCTTCAGGGTTCGAAATGTTGCTGCGCTGACTGGTTTTCCCAGCATTTTCTAGCAAACATGCCGCTTTGGGGCTAATGTAGGGACACCCCAGAAAACTGATAGGAGATCTGCAGGGCTAACCCACACGGGACAATGAATGCTTTGCCCACAGAAATCCCTGCTGGAATTTCCAAAAGGGCAAAACTGCAGTCAGCTGTGTGGGCATACACGGCCACCTGCTGTGGGTCCACACGGGCATGTTTGCTGGGTTTGGTCTGCTTCAGCACACTTCAGGTGTATTTGACAGAAATCAGTGCTTCTTTCTTAATTCGGTGTTAGGAGGACAGGGACTTTCATCTGGTGGCTAACATTTAATCAATGAGAAGCCCTGATGGTGAATTTGATGCAGCCGCTTCACTTTTCCTACATGTTTTTACCCACGCGACAGTGGGCGGGGGCTTTTCGGTGAGGTGTTACCGCATTGGTTCTCTGACGTTTCCTGGCAGCTTTCACTTTAGAACCGGTGGAACCCTATAACATCAGGGAGCTGTTGTAGGGGTTAACCTACAACAGCATCTACTGCACTGTTAAATAACGGCGCAGCACATTTTAAAGGCCTCATGCACTTGAATGTTTGCTGGAGTTGTTGTAGTTTTTATGAAAAAGATTTTTTTTATTTAATTACATTTATTTATGTTTCTGGATTTTATGATGCAGAAAGAATAAACGCAGGACTGTCTGCGGTCGGCACGATAACATCAGTAAACCCTTCGGTTCATTTTCCCTCAAAACTCCACGTGCGTCGTGTGGCTATTCCCCAGCAGGGGCCGCCTCCACATCAGCATGTGTGTTCCCTCTTTAACATAACGGCCCAAAGCGTACCCCTCCAGCCGGTTGCAGCAGAAGTCTGCCCCCTCCCTGAGCTTGGTTCTCCTGATGGTTTCTTACAGAGAGGTTTTTCTTCCCGCTGTCGCCAAATGCTTATTCATTGAGGGTCTGTCTGATTGTTGGGATTTCCTTTCAACATAAGGCGCCTTCAGGCTTTTATATAAATAAAAATAAACTGAACTGAATTTGATAGACATGGAGGGGCCTACACTGAGCTCTCCACGCTGACCTGAAGCTGGTCTTGACAGGGCTTTGTTATAATCAGTCAATGGAGGTGACCGTGGTTGCACCAACCAAATTTCAGACTGTCCTTGCTACACTCTGGCCTAACCCTGCTGGACCTGTGTGAGCCTGCAACAGTACCACTACGTCAGGATTTCTAGTTTATCAGCCAATCCCACCAAGCGTTTCCATCTTCGTTTGTGTTTTGACTTTAGTCATGAACACAAGGTGGTAAACTTTGCCTGAAGGAAAAGCATCAGTGTGCCTCAGTATAGCCTCAAAGAGATGCTTTCGGGGTCGTAGACTGGCTTTTAGTGTTCTCTGCACCACCTCTCCCAGCTATTTTTGGTTCCCCTGGGTTTCCTACATGCGTCCCTGTTGGGACATTAAAGCCTTTATTTGTACTGCTCCTGTGATTTCACATGTAATGAGTGAGTCAATAAGAGCCAGCACTTACAAGCAAACGGCATTCTCAGGTCATATTTCTGCTTCTTAGGGTCCATTTTAAGACTCGTCGCTTTGATTTGAGCGAAGCATTCGAGCGCTTCAGGTGTGTGCAGTCATTCCACAGTCAGAACGCTTCTTCATCTCCTTTAGCGGTGTGATTGATCTGAAGGGAAGGGATCCAAACTGAGAGGACGTGATTCCCAGAGGTAGAGGTTTTATTGCAGAAAAAACATCAGATAAATCTCACGGCTTCAAAGTACATCAGAACATCTAGAACGCAGGAAGAGTAAACAGACAAATGTTTGATACACCTCTTTAATGAGTTTCATCTTCTCTCTGACAGATGTGCAAGAATAAATATCTGTTTCTTAAATGCAGACATATCTACTGTGAGTATAAGCTCATGGTTTGCAACAAACCCCCTCTCCTCACATCGCCTCCTCTGGGCTAAAGAGCTCTTCTTCCTTCAGGAACGTGGACACTACAGAGCTGCGGGGGATATAATGGGTTCATCTTTTTTCTCCTCTAGCACCGGCGATTATAAGTGAGCAAAACTGCATGTGCTACTTAAATAAGAAGCTTGACAGAGATGAAACAGCACGGGGACAATGGAATGGATTATTTTAGGATTACAGCTGAGAGGAAAATGGCGTATCTTTCTCAGGCGTGGACAAAGAGTATAAGTCACAGAGGGATGACAACAAATGGCATTTTCCAGTGTCTGAAACCAGAAATGATTGCCTCATCTGAACATGATGAAAATGTTCCGATTCGCAAAAAGCCCGAGAACTCCAGCCAGAAACTGGAATGTAAACTCTTTACAAACGTCTTTTCCCCTGCTGACTTTATGTTAATATAAATGTGTATGGATATAAATGTTTAGCACATACACGTGTACAAAGCTACAGCCACCAAGGACAGAGTAATGTACAGAAACCTAAAGCTCAGACTACATCACGGGAACGTTACGTGGCTCTCGGTTGGAGGGCAGTGACGGCTGACGTCCTGCTCGATAACAACAAAAGAAGAAGAACTAAGACTTTCTGCCGGGCCGAGGAGGCGGAGTTACACCTGCATCACATCAGTGTTCAACTTCTGTCACATCCTTTTTCTCTCTCCTGCTTCATCACACACACTGTGTGTCTGCATGTGTGTGTCTGCATGTGTGTGCCACACTGTAAACCTATCTTCATTCCTGGCGACACAGATCACCTGTAACATGAATCGGTTTATGGTCGGGCCTACAGACCAGTGAGCAACCACTGGCTGTGAGGGAAACGTGCTCGCAGTCATAAGCGTGAAACTTGTATGGTGCTGTGATAAAAACCCTTCGCAGCACAGATGACGCCGACATGACTGCGAAGACTCACAAATTCCTCGCCGGGTGGAAATGACACTGTGAAAACTGAGAACTGCAAATGGAGAGCAATGACCTTCAAAGGTGCCGCGGCGAGGCACAACTTGGCGCCGCACTTTGTGATCAGCACAATAAGATCAGCGAATGCTTCAGTTCCTTTTCCCTCAAAGCTCGTTTTGGGAGTCATGTGACTGAGTTTGAATGAATGTAATGTCCTGTGTGTGTGTGTGTGTGTGTGTGTGTGTGTGTGTGTGTGTGTAGTGTAAACACCATGGGCACTAGGACCCTGGGGTTGAGCCCTCCACACCGTGTGTGTGTGCGTGTGTGTTTGGGAGATACTGATTGTGTAAAAGTCCCGATCATTTCTCTTTATCAGAAAAACATTAAGAACCCAAAGCCGCCGCCGTGACAGCGAGCGCCACGCTTTCCTTCTCCTCCTTGGCCGACAGTCACCGACAGCTGCCGGCACAGTGAAGAACAACAAAGGCTCATTTCCTGTTTTACTCGTAAAAAAATGAAAGAATGACGTTTGACTTCACGACGTCAGCTTTCCCCTCTAAGGACTCATATCCAGAGACACAGTGAGACCCGTTCAAACAGAGTGACGGCTTGGAGAACAATCCTAATCAGAGACATAACCATTATCTCAGACCCCCAGCACTGATCAGAGTCCAAAACTGAAACTGTCTTGGTCCTTCGCTGGTGTGGTAAGGTGACCTCCAGCCTTGATGTTGGCTAATGGATGCTGTAAATAAGCCACTGATTGATTTGTGTTGTGTTTGAGGGAGAGTGAAGGGAAGGATGCAGAAGTGTGTGTGTGGGAGGGGCTCAGGTCAGCTGATGGGATCCCTCGGCGTAGCGTCCAGCGTCCGGTTACCTCTGAATTATTTCCTCTGCGATGACAGCAGCAGTCAGGCTGGTATCAATGCCCCCTCCACGCACACGCCATCATCCCCATTATCGGTCGGCGTGTTGCGTTCTGCTCTGGGTGTCCTCCTCCACTACAGGAAGTGTGTTTTTACAGGAAGTGTGTTCACTGCTGATTAATCGTGTTTTCCTAGTAAGTGTTCACAGGCGTCTAATAACACACACGGTTACTTTGTGCAGACCGGTCTGTCTGTAGAGCGCCGTCACTCCCGCTCATGTGTCACACGGTCCACTCCCGTCATAGAGTTGTTCGATGTGACATCATCAGAGCTGTTCTCCGGGGCGTCACGGTCAGGGCGGGAACGTTTGAAGCGTCTGTCGGGGTAGCGGCTGTTGTCAAAGGGCATGCGGTGCACGCATAGCACGTGAGTCTTCAGGTTGCCCTTCTGCGAGGCGCTGTAGGGGCAGTAACTGCACCTGAACGGTCTGCGGCCTGCAACGACAACAAACACCAGAAACTCTTTAATCTCAAACAGGAAGTCATTGTAAGACCGACCCCATCCACAGTCTGGGGTCAGTCAGCCTGTGGGCGGGGCCTGTAGCTCAGGAGGTCGAGAATCTGCTAATCTGAAGGTGTGTTGGTTTGATTCCTGGCTGCTCCAGTCTGCATGCCAAAGCATCCTTGGGTGAGATACACAACCCTGAGATTGTCTGTGATGCATCTGTGTGAGTGTGGATGTTAGATAGCAAACACTGTGTGTGCGTGCGCGCACTTATACGTCTTTGTGAGGACCAAAATTTCGACTGCGTCTTCGGTGCCCTGCGGACGTCGAAAGTTCAGACTGTATTAAAAGTCTGAGGTTTGGAGGGAGGAAGCAGGGGGCAGGGCTGTAGACAAAGACAAGAAAAGTGATTTTCACATTCACACCACCCCACCAGCACCTCCTTATTGAAACAAATCTGCCCTTAAAACATTACCCAACACAGTCGGCGAGCTCCCACAAATTCATCTGAAGTAAACTTTTGCAGCTCCTCAAGTCGATATGCATCTTCGGAAGAGGCCGCTTACGTCTGGCAGCCCGAACACAATAGCAAGGCGAACACGGCAAAGGATTTTTCTCCATCTCCCCTCCTCACACCAGCCCAGCACAAAATGTTCTCCCAAGATTGAATCTGATCATCACTGCAGCAAACACAATGGCCCTTAATAGCAGCGGCCGTTTGTTTGAGGGATGCCGATTACACCGCCATCATAACCCACTTCACTTAGCTCACTCACTCACAGACGGAGAGGGAGGGGGAGGAAGACGGGAGAGACGTGGAGCCTCTGCAGCACTTTAGAATATTAATAACGGTACATTTGCTGTTACTCTCGTTTTCTTTTTTTCTTTATCTCTTATTCAATTTGAGTTACTCTAAATCAAATTAACATATGGGGTTTAAAAGAGGCGCCGGGATAGGTGCAGGGAATATCAATAGGTAAAAGGCCAGGATTAAAAGGAAACCATCTATTTGAAGCACACACTCCACTCCACGTAGACTCGCGCACACACAGGCTCGATGTGAGGACACAACGAGCCAGTGCGAGACTTTGTGTTTGGCAATCTGACGCAGGTTTTGGAGGCTTGCCGGCTTTCTGATATTACATTGTTTGCTTCAGAGCCAGACAAAGGGGATTGCTACAAGTTTGGAGGCTTTGGATGTTCCAGTTGTCTGAATTTCCAGATAAGCTCGTCGGCGGCACACAATGAAGGCCCCCTTTATTCATGTGCGGTTTAATTTCACACTCTCTTACATTACGTTAAGTCCGAGAGGCAGAGTATCTCATCCCATTTTACACTTAGGGAGAGCGAAATATGCCCCCAAACAACTCAACCCTTTTCTCCCGTCTCCCCGCTTATTTACCGTTAGTCCTCGTGGACTTGAAATAAAAACAGATCGAGCCGGTTTATCTGCAGGGAGAGAGAGAGGGCTGAACTGGGAAAGTTTGGATGTAGAAACTTAAGTTAGTGTCCAGATTGAAATTGACTTCTGCACAATGACACACACTCACACACACACACTAGATAGTTTAAAAATTAAACAGAGGCTGCTCTCCCTGCACACACACACACACACACACGAATACTTGTTTTCCTGACTTGGTGAGGACATCCTATGGACACGATGCTTTCCTTAACCATGACCTTAATGTGACGCTGACACCAAAACCACATTTTTAGTCTCAAACACGCCTTCAAACTTGTGGGGACGGGCTGTTGGTCCCCAAAAAGATGTATGAACATGGTGCACACACTCGCACACACTGGCATTCAACAGTCTGCATGCTCGGCTAGCGTGCAGACCCACAGATGCCGTTATTAATCCACGTCCTGGGCTCTGTGCCTCTGCAGCCACAGGTCTGTGTGTCTGATCTGAGGGTTCAGTCATCACCAGTCGGATGTCGGGTTCCATTTTCAACTCTAAAACCTGGGTCCGATGTATGTGAGTGATCGAGCTCACCAACCCTCCAAACATTGGTGCTGTTCAGTTAAATGTCTTTGTTTCTAGCAGAGCCGTCTGTTTTTATTGTGTTGGAAATCCTTCAGTCACAGGTTTGTCATCTTTAGAGCTAATGTCCTACTACATGGGGCGATCGTGGCTCAAGAGTTGGGAGTTCGCCTTGTAATCGGAAGGTTGCCGGTTCGAGCCCCGGCTTGGACAGTCTCGGTCGTTGTGTCCTTGGGCAAGACACTTCACCCGTTGCCTACTGGTGGTGGTCAGAGGGCCCGGTGGCGCCAGTGTCCGGCAGCCTCGCCTCTGTCAGTGCGCCCCAGGGTGGCTGTGGCTACATTCTAGCTTGCCATCACCACTGTGTGAATGTGTGTGTGAATGGGTAGATGACAGGTTGTGTAAAGCGCTTTGGGGTCCTTAGGGACTAGAAAAAGCGCTATATAAATACAGGCCATTTACCATTTACATTCAGCTACATTGTCTTTTCCTGGTTTCCTGGAAGTCAAACTTTGGATGCAAAGACCTGGGTTAATGACGTCAGAAATAACAAGCGGACTCAGTTCTGGGATGTTTTGTGTTTGTTTCTCTCATCAGCTGCTAATGCATTGACGTGTCACTCGATTGACAGATTCGTGAGGACACACACACTGTGAGATTCCACACTGAGCTCAAATCACACCATGAATCAGGTGAACTAAATAGAGAAATGAGTTCTTCCTAAGAGTCACATAATGAAACTTGCACCTACTTCAGCTGCACTTGTCAAATCAAATCAAATCACTTTTATTGTCACATCACATGTCACTCACATGTGCAGGTACATTGGTACAGCACATGTGAGTGAAATTCTTGTGTGCGAGCTTCACAAGCAACAGAGTTGTGCAAAATACAATAATGTAAACAAGCAAAATACAAGAATGGCTACATCTGAAACTAATAAATATATGTACAATATATAATAGTATATGCATGTGTGAATGTGAATTGTGTGAATGCTTCTGATCGCTGATCATTATCGGATCCTGTGCCCTCAGATGAAGGTGATTTTTCTAGAACACAAACACAGTTTACCTTTTTATATTTTCAGCAACAACTAGTCCCCTCCTCCTCTTTGACATTCCTGTTTAAGAATCTTCAGCTGTAAAACATCATTTACAGAAATCATTCAGGTCTCAAAAAGAGAATCTGATAAGGTTTGAAGAGCAGGTGGGTGGGGCTTCTACCATCTCTCTGTGACATCACACGGATCCCTGGGTAGAAAAAACTACGATACAGCCTGAGCTTGTGCACACACACGGAACTCATTATTAGGAACAGTCATGTAACAGGAAATGAGGAGGGAACGGGTCCTCTTTAATTTGTGGGGACCCTGTTTGTGTTTAGTTTGCGTCACCTTCTGTCTCTCACATGTTCCCATCTGTCTGTTTATTCCTTCTTTTGTGTCGACAAAATCCTTCAAGAGTGGGAAATTTAAGGCTAAAGAGACGCAGAGTAATAATGAGGGAGGAACAGAAAAGAGGAGAGAGACGGTGTTCTTGTTTTCATTAGTGTGGCATTATCTCAGCCTGTTAATTAACCCCCCAAGGCCCTCTGCGAGGAGATCAGAGGGAGAGGAAAGGAGGGCAGCACGAGGGAGTGTGGGGGGGGGGGGGGGGGGGGGGGGGGGGGGGGGGGGGGGGGGGGGGGGGGGGGGGGGGGGGGGGGGGGGGGTGGGGGGGGGGGGGTGTCTGTGTGTGTGTGGGAGTGTGTGGACGGGTATTAACATCCTCATGGGGACCAAAAATTGGTAGTTTACTATACTTGTGGGGACCAACAGTCACTTATGAGTAGGGCTGGGTATCGTCACTGATTTCTAGAATTGATTTGATCTCCGATTCAATTCAATTCGATTTGAATCGGAGAAATTTTGCCTCAGAGTCAGAAATATAATTCTGATCACTTATCAGTACATATCGATATTTTTATATCTATTAAAAGAAACCTGACACGTGAGATTTTATCAGAGGTGTGAGCATCACAGCAGAGGCCTTTGTGTCAAAGTAACTGAGGATAAAACAGAAAAACATGAAGGCGGTTTTCCTGGTCTGGGTTTTTATAGCAGATGACCTTAAAAATATTGTGCTGTCAAAAACTAAGTGAAGCAGAGCAAAGTTACAGAGGTTTGATTAGAGACACAGCATTTTGCACTTTTGCATAATTTTAAAAAGTTTAAATTTGTTCAGTATTGAACAGCAGAAATGAGGCTTTTCTGTCGGAAGTAAAAAAAAAAAAAAGTAGGAGTGGGTTTTGATTATCGATTTAGAGAGAGAGAGAGCTCTACACCAAGTGTGATTTTATCGTGGTGGAAGCAAAACAGCAAAGGTAAGAAGAAATTCGTGACGATGTTTATGTGAAGCGTAGTTTGGAAGGGTCTTCTGCTGCTGGTTCAGTCAATACTGTTTGGAGAGAGATCAAACCTGTAGCTTCAGAATCGAGCGCAAAAAAGACGTAAACACAAAGCGCCCGCCGACGCTTCAAGATCAGTGAGCTGTCGGCTTTCAGCCCCGACGGCGTGTCCGCGTACGTGCGTTGGGTTTTGTGTTTACCTCTTTGTTCAGAATCCGTGTTCCTGCTCTCATTTACTGTTTTAGCTGTTTGGTGGTTGTAGAAATTTTGTGAGGTTTAACTTGAGGTTCTGGAGTTTCGGGGCAAAATGAATTTATATTAAAAAATCGGTTCAGGATTTTAATGAATTGATATCACGTTATCCAAGCCAGAATCGATTTTAATCTATACGTCGATAATCAAAACCCACCCCTGCTTATGAGGACATTTGTGCCGGTCCTCACGAGTTTGAAGGCATTTTTTAGGTTATGGTTAGGTTTAGAGTCAGGGTCAGGGTTAGGGTTAGGCGTCCATTTTTGATGGTTAGGGTTAGTGAGATGTCTCCAAAAGGATATAAATACACGTGTGCGTGTGTCAGTCTGTGTGCGTGTGTCAGTCTGTGTGTGTGTGTGTGTG